GGGCGTGAAGATAATCCTTAATTTTGAAAAATAGAGCAATCCATAGATAAATCTTTAATTAAAAACCATATATTGAATCAAAATATCATTTATTTTACCAATATTTCAGTTGGCTGAACGCCAACCTTTATCAAAATGTTATAATGTTGTTGACACACTTTTTTTGCCAGTAGAAGGGCGTGTGGCCCGAAAGCTCGCTCGCGTTTATTAAAAAAGAAACTCATCTTCCTTCGTGATTTACTTCATTTGATTACCTAAACAGGAAGAGTTCTATCTCTTACACTTTAAAATGTTATAACACCTTGATAAAGGTTGGCGTTCAGCCAACTTAAATATTGGTAAAATAAATGATATTTTGATCCAATATATGCCTTTTTAATTAAATAAATAATAATGTATAACAATATATGGAAGTACAATGAGAGAAGTAAAATTATATTATCACAAAATAATAATAATAATAAGGTATATATTCATATATATAAATCTTCCACTTCTATATATATATTATATAATCTAAAATGAAAATATTTTATTCTTTTAAAAAACATATATTTTATTTTCATTCATTGACTATTCTACCTTTTCTTTTCACCATAGATTTATAATATACCACTTTGATATTGTTTTAAATATGTAGAGTTTAACCTACCTATTTTTTAATTCACGAATATAGGATTCATTTTATAAATTCTATATTACTGTGAAAAATATTTAATGTATAATTCTTTTCAGGTAATTGAAAATAAAAACTACTTGATAAGTAAATAACTATCTTTCTTTTTACAGGAATGCACCTTCAATTCTCTATCATTCCAACATCAAAACAATATAATCATAACATATATATAATTTAATTATTATATATATTGAATTAGGTTTGTTTTCTCATCAAATATTTAATATCTTCGTCTATTCTCTATCATTTCATATATATTTGAATTATTAAATATCTGATTATATTATGCATTATCATAGAATTAGAAAATTTGATGAGAGAGGGATAAGTATTGTGATAAATATATATTTATAAACCCACATTAGTAGATAGAAAAGTTTGTATAAAAACAAAGAAAAAACTCTATTATAAAATAAATGAAGCTTCCAGGGTTAAGTTTATTGTTCAACCTTTTATTTTCAAGCTTTCAGACTTATCAGTCCTTCACAATACACAAGACATGAACAAGAAACTTAAGCCCGGAAGCTTCATTTATTCAATAATATTATAAAAAAATAAGGGAAGAACATTTATTTATAATCAAGTGTTTAATGATGAATATCTCACCAAAAAGCTCTATACCAAGAATTTGAAAGAAAACTAGTAATTTATTTCGTTGTAATTTATTGGAAAATATTTCATTTATGTAGAGTATATAATGTGAAAAAACAATAAAAAATAAAAATATATAAATCTAGAATTGCTCATGTGAGCCTTGTCAGGATATGCCTCTTTTATTTTAATAGTCTCTAATGTGAAAAAAATAATAATTTGTTGTAGAGACCTTTCCTTTAAAAGGTTTTGTTAGAAAGAGTTATCATTGAAGAGTATTATATAGGGAGTTTCACTGTAGACAGTACTGAGGTATAAATAATATCAATATACAGTTAAACCTGTCTATAGCGTCCCCTCTAAATAGCGCCTCCCTCTCTATAGCGCCCGCTTTTAAATACGTAGTACAATGCGATTTACATTAAAAGTGACCTGTCTATAGCACCCTCTCTCTATAGCACCCTATTTTGGTGAGTCCCAAGAGGGGATTCTATAGACAGGTTTAACTATACAGAGTTTAGCGGTTATATTTTGTTATAAAGATTTATGCTATAGAGATTTCGTTATAAATAATATTGTTATAATAATTTTTTATTGACGATTTTTAATAAAGAGTTTGATTATAGAAATTTAGCTATAAAAAAAGTTTTGCACCGTTCTGAAGATGAAAGCCAATTGAAGATTATTCATAAAGGGTTTCATCATAGTGTTTGCTATAAAGAATTCATTATAAAGATTTTCCCCTATAATTTGGTCATAAAGAGTGTCCATTGAACTATAAAGGAATGACAATACATCCAGATGGCACAAGAACCTACAGGACATGCTGTCCTGGTGTGGAGATAATACCTACCCACATATTCTCATGCCCAGCAATGGCCGCAGCCTTGCAGAAAATTGACATGGACCCAGCTTTACCCACCAAAGATAGTGAATATTGCGACTGCTGTGATTGAGATGTATGGGGACATCTGAGGCTCTTCATTGGACACGACAACAACATTGAATATTAGTTACAAAGACTTTTCATTGAAGATTATTTATTTTGGCTATAGACAATTTAGTTAAAGATTTTCATTATAGAGAGAGTTTTTCATTATGAATATATAATGTTTTTATAAAGAGTTATCATTGAAGATTACTTATTATACTAGTCCTTATAAAGTTTTCGCTCTTAAAAAAGGCTTGTTGGTATAAAGAATTTCATTTGAAAATTATTCACAAAGAATTTCATTGAAGAGTTTTTCGTTACGAAGAATTTTCTTGAAGATAAAGGTTGCCTGACCGATATTCATTGTTGTTATTGTCGTGTCCAATGAAGAGCCTCAGATGTCTCCATACATATCTATCACAGAAGTGTCAATGTCCTCTATCTTGAATGTGTAAAGCAGTTGTTCTGGGTCTATGTCAATTTTCTGTTGTTATTGTCGTGTCCAATGAAGAGCCTCAGATGTCTCCATACATCTCTATCACGGCGGTCGCAATGTCCACTATCTTGGGTGTGCAAAGCTGCTGTTCTGGGTCCATGTCAATTTTCTGTTGTTATTGTCGTGTCTAATGAAGAGCCTCGGATGTCCATACATCTCTATCACAGAAGTATCAATGTCCTCTATCTTGGGTATGTAAAGCTGCTGCTTTGGATCCATGTCAATTTTCTGTTGTTGTTGTTGTGTCCAATGAAGAGCCTCAGATGTCTCCATACATCTCTATCACAGCAGTCGCAATGTCCCCTATCTTGGGTTTGTAAAGCTGCTTCTCTGGTTCCATGTCCATTTTCTGCAAGGCTGCGGCCATTGCTGGGTATGAGAATATGTGGGTAGGTGTTAGTTCCACACCAGGACAGTTGTTGCATGTCCTATAGGTTCTTGTGCCATCTGGATGTATTGTAATTCTTTTATAGTATTTCGTTCTGAGTCTTGTTATAGGTTTTGTAATCCTTTTCTCAGAGTTTATTTCGCATATTTGATTTTCATTGGTTTTGAAATAAGAGACACTTCGGCGCCAGGAAAATATTAAAAATAAATTTTATGAAAAAGCAATAAATATTTTAAACACCTTTCCATAATGGTTATTTCTTTACTGAGGAGGACAAAATATTTTTATAGAAACGTCAAAAAAATAAAAACTTTACTGGCCGAAGTGTCTTTTACTCAAAGAACAATGAATAATTTTGTAATAAAGAGTTTTCATTGAAATTTATTTATAAATGACTTCATTATAAAAACTTCTCATAGTATATTCACAGCGCAAGATTTGTACATTTTATCAAATTGCACAGAGTATTTTATAAAAATTGTATTTTTTATTTTGCTACGCAAATCTTTATCGAACTTTCCATACAAATATATTTAGTTTTGAAATTTATTTTTTATATTTACAACTTTCTTTCCAAAAGGGAAAATCTACAAAATTGCCTTTGTCTCCTTAAAAAAAAAAGACTTTCCCGTTTCTCAAGTTTTGTCCATGTGAGTAAAAGGCCAACACTTTCGATTACAAAAACAATAAAATCGGTTAATAAAAAAAACTGAATTCAGTTATATAAAATAATAAATTGTATTTATTCGAAATAGAAAAACGATAGAAAAACACCCATACAAAATTGTCAAAGTGGGTTTTTTTCTCTAATACATTTCATAAAATATTTATTTATTAGCATATACAGTAATTAATCCCAATTTTATCCTATAGATCTTTCAATTAGATCAGGAATGAAGCTGAATAGTTCAAAAGAGAGATAAAAAAAGATAGTTAAATTTGTATAAAAGTATAACAAAGCTAAAGTTTTGCGGAGGAGCCTCTTTATGGGATTGCCCAGCCTCCTACGTGGGGGAGACTGGCAGAACCGCGTATATCAGAATCACCGAACACAAACGAAACATAAACAATAGAGACCCGAAATCACTTATATACCAACATATTTCAAACACAGGCCATAACTTCAACTTAGATCAACCTAAAATCCTATATCAGCACATAAACAATAAGCAGCACAGATTGGTACTGGAATCTATCATATCAACACAAACAAACAGCATAAATAGGAAAATAGATCTACCGGAAATATACCATATAATATCTCAATAGTTACACCATGATACACTCGGGTGTGTGGTCGGGAGGAGTGGACCCCAGCTTGGTTTTCTGTGTTGAGATGTTTTGGAATTTTACTGGTTTTAAACGTTACGAAATTTTAAAGTGTCACACGGCTTACATACATTGAATATCATTATTTTACTTAACTTTTATCGCATTTAAAAGTTTTTGCCATAATTTCATCTAAATTTTAAAAATCTATAAGTTCATTTACATAGTTTTATTTTTATTGTCATAGTTCCTATTTCTATTTTATTACGTTTGAAATATCACTCCGCATGTAAATTTATATATTGTATATAATGGCTCAAGCGCGCTTATACCCTGTTAGTGTAGTCATACTAGCCACGCCTGTGGAAGAACCGAAAGGTTCGAAAGCTAAAAAAATAATAAAGAGGCTCCTCCGCAAAACTTTAGCTTTGTTATACTTTTATACTAATTTATACGGAGTTTACTTGTAGAATAGTTAAATTTGTTTGTAGAGAGAGAGAGAGTAGACAAAAATTCAAACAAAAAATACAAGTTATGAAAAAAGGCATCTCCTTATCGTGCAACTGAAAGTTGCTGATGTTGCACGATAAGGTGATGCCTTTTTTCATAATTATGCACCTTATCCCTGTACAATATCACATTTGTAGGCTGGTTGGAAGGCTGGTTAAACCGTTTGGTTTACGACCACTACGACCCGGGTTCGATCCCCGCATTGGACACTTTTTTCTGTTAAAAAAAAAAAATGCTCCAATGGCCCCCCGATTCTTGCAAAAGTCCAACCCCACCAGCGAGTGCAAGTAACCAAACGGGGCTCTGGCACATTTGTAAGTGCAAAGTCGAACTGCTTTCACATGTGTAGACATGTGGTGCGCTTACAGTAAAAAGCAGTCGCTAACTACCCACCATGATTATCATGGCCTGTACCACGTGTACTAGGGATAAGCAAAAAAAAAAAAAAACATTTGTACTTTTTTTTCAAAAAATACAAGGTTGTCCCAAAAATTCGTAAACACTTGCAAATAAAATTGAAATACCAATATTATTCACCGTTATGTATAACGTCTTTGTACGAGTGCCATCCAATAAATAAGTTTCCCTATTTTTTAAACAAATAAACAACATTATTTACAATTATGCAGTTATTCTCATTATACAACTCATAGACTACTTCTCTACATAATCACCATTTCTTACACTACTAACTAATTTTTACAACGTTTCGTTCTCAGAAAAAAAAAACTTATTTATTGGATGGTCCTCGTATTATGTATTCGCTGTAATAATATTATTCACAAAGTAATAAAAAAAAAAAACGTTTAAAAAAAAACACGAACTTTTGGAAACAACCTTTTTTTATCTCTCTAATCAAAAATAAAACAATGTAAACAAAAATACAACAAGTATAAACCAAGTTTAAACAACAAGTACAAACCAAGTATGAACAACAAGTACAAACCAAGTATAAATCAAGTAGATATTGCCAAGAACAAGGTACACAGGGAAGAAACAAACCATATATTACTACACAACTTAATGGCATGGAAATTTCTTATTTGTGTTTCAACATACCATTACTACTGTAGATATTTATTCTCCATATATAAAATGTTAAGTATGGAGAAAGAATGTATCTTGTCTCAAGCAGCGAGACATAAATTTCTAACGCTACGTTTCCTTGAGACTGGGGAGTAAATAATAAATATCACAGAACTTTACACTTAGCTTGGCTCAATTTCCCGTTTCTCTACCCCAACAATTAATGTAGAATTTGGTAAGTTAATTGAGGCCAGGATATGAACCTAAATTTTATTTTTATTTTAAATATAGATAAGGAATATATATTGTATATAGAACGATATTTGAAAATTATCCTGCAAATATTTCTTTTGAACGAAAAATCGAAATTTATTTTAAGGAGAAATAACGATTATTTCTAACCTTAGGGATGAAGTATGAAAGGAGTTCTAAGTGCAAAGTTGAACTGCTTTTCACATGTGTAGAAATGTGGTGCACTTACTGTAAAAGCAGTCGCCTACTTATACCCACCATGATTATCATGGCTTGTACCACGTGTACTAGGGATAAGCAGAAAAAAAGTATGAAAGGATGAATTGTGAAAAGAAATGATGAACGGAAAAATAAAAGTGTCCAGGGATGATAATCGAACCCACAGTGTTCCGCTTACCGGGCAGATGCCATGTCCACTAGGCTACCCTGGACATATTTCTCCGTTCGTAAATTATATAAAGTAATTTATAATAAAATATAATGCGCCCTGTGATTGTAAAACGACGTTTGAAAATTATTCCACAAATGTTTCTTTAGAACGAAAAATCGAAATTTATTTTAAGGAGAAATAACGATTATTTCTAACCTTTCATACTTCATCCCTAAGGATAGAAATAGTCGTTATTTCTTCTTAAAATAAATTTCGAATTTTTCGTTCAAAAGAAACATTTGCGGGATAATTTTCAAACGTCGTTCTACAATCATAAGCCGCATTATATTGTATTATAATATATATTGTATTGCCTAAATGTGCCTAGGTATTTGTTCTCTTGTTTTATAAAATGAAAGATAACCTCTAAAAAAGAGTATATAATATGTACTATATAACAAATGAAAACATTAAGACGCGAATGTTTCTTCTCACAAATAAATCAAACTTTTACTGTCCTTACTGAGATGAAAAAATATTATTTATGCCTAACTGGTCTTGTATTTATTGTTTGCGGAAGAGCATTGCTCGATGCAAATATTTAAATATAATTCTACTGTCCTAAAAGCTTATATACAATTGTTCAGTTAAATACAATATCTAAGATTTCACCTTTCAGTGTAGCATATAGAAGTAGATTGATACAATACAGTATTAAAGCTCTAAAGAAGCGTTCTGGTAGATTAAATTGGTGAAAATTCTCTCTCTCTAAATGATAAACAGAATTTCAAAATGAAAAGGCTGCAGTGAAAAAAATTGCATACAAAGAGAAAACTATGAGTTTATAGGAACACACGTGAAATATTTTTAAAAAGTTTATACACTCTTTAATAGAGATTTTTATTTTAAAAACAGAAGTATCTAAACTATCGTCTTTTGGCCGTTATTTGTAATTTGTCAAGCAGACGATTCCCTTATTGAAATTTATTTGGCGCCATTTTTCTTCTCGTTTGGCCGATAAACGCTTGAGTTTTACTCGAGGTATTTCTCTGATATCTGGACCGTATTGGAGCATCTTTCTTCCTCAATCCCTCAATTTACTAGAGGAATTTTCATAAGGTTGAATATATATTTCAGAAATGCACGAAGTTTTTTTTATTTCGATTACTGATACATTGTAAAAAATATAGGAAATGATATGAAATAATATTTTACCCCCCTTATTTTATATACATGCTGTGAAAGTCTTTATTATAAAGTAATATATAGGGTAGTGAATTAATAATAGTAAATTGAGATATATACACTCATGGACAAAACTTAAAGAAGTGGAATTTTTTTATGTCACCCGTTATCTTTTTTTAAGGAGACAGAAGCAATTTTGTTCATACTTGGTTATCTCGTATGTCTTCAATAAAGGTCACTGTGCATCAAATATCTTTCAGAGTTATTGTCTGAATCCCGATATACATGCTGAAAGGTACAACTTACTTAAGTTTTGTCCATGAGTGTATATTGGTTATCTCGTGTCTTCATTAAAGGTCACTGTAATATCTTTCAGAGTTATTGTCTGAATACCGATATACATGCTAAAAGGTACAACTTCCTTAAGTTTTGTCCATGAGTGTATGGCAAGCTTCCAAATATTTACTTCTCGAAAAATCAAATTGATGAATAAGTATGGGGGACAAGAATTAGCCTAATTGGCGAAGGACCACACTATAGTCAGAGTTCTTGTATAGGCTCCAGTATCAGATGATGTGGTTTGATGGTAGCAGCACTAAATCCAGTCTGCTCGAATCCACTCGGTTTCAGTAACAGGGGATCCTTGTCGGCAGATGCATCGAAGATAGCTGCGGCATCGACAAGGTTGGCTCAATTCACGAGCTTTCAAAGATTTTCGAAGAAACCGTAAACAATGTCACTCCCAGACTATTCGAGAATATTTAGGTCCTAAAGAACCCAGACGTCTTTATTGTCAGCGGCAGATGCAATGACCTGGAGCTGCTGTAACACCGAGATCTTCATACCACACCTTGAGGCTCAAAACGTCGCTTCTTGTGGAGACGGATAGCTACGTAGCCGACGTCACGGAAGTGTTATTTTGCTTCGAAGATCATTCGAAAAATCAAGTTAATGTACTCGTTAAGACTCGGAAATAATCTCAATATTATTCTTTATATATGTTTGAATATTCAAAATATATTACAATAGTGTATATTTAAAATAATATATATTAGTTTTTACATACGTATAAAATAGCACAATCATTGAATGTATTTTTTATATATTTCAAAATAATTTAGCTAGTGCGCCGTAAAGATTCAGTACTCCCTATGAAACAAAGAAGGCAGTAAGAGTTAGACTTAGTTTGTTTACCGATACAATAAAATGTTGTATTTGTGCTAATTATTGGCGTACCTTCTAAAATGATAACAGTGCTCAAAAGAATGGAAAACCACGGACACCGATCTACTCAATAATAGATCCAGGATTGCTTGCGCAAAGTGGATAATGGCACTGCACAGAAGCTAGATATAGGCATCAAGATTAGATTGTTCGACGAAGATGTGTTATTGAAGCCGAATAAACTCATATGATATTCATTAATTAACACTCAAGCACAAAGCTTTTATTAAGACACCAGTCTTATACAGATTCTCCTCTCTCATTGCCGTCTTACAACGATATCCCCACGATGATCAATCACCATCATGTAGTGGAGGAGAAAACGATGACTCTAAGCTCCTACTTACTGCTTTGTAAAAGTTATATAGGGACAGAGCAACCATTCAACTTGATATGGCGCTGGTTAAAATACTTTGTACTGAGGTAAGTTGGCTGTCGTTTACTTTTGAGAGGAACATCTCTCTTTCTTCACTAATATACTGAAACTGAAAGAATTAATGAGATATTTCAATTTCTATTTTTCTTTGCAAATATGGTATATTGTATCCCTCTCACTGAAGAATTTGGTTTTCCTGAAAAAACGAATGGAGTATTCTCTGTTGTGTAATATAACGTTTTACTGGAAATGTAAAGTCACTAACTGAATAGCTTTCAGTCAAAAATGAACTATGTAAGTATTTAAAGCGAGGATATACTTTAAATTTGTTTTTCTCATTTTGAAAATACGTTATTTATATAATATTTATTGTTAAAATATAAACATTACTTTAAAACGTACACTATATTTAACCAAACGCTTGTTAATTAAAAAAAAAGACAGTTTAACCCACCACTGTTCTTTTAAAAATGATGTAAAATCTGATATACATTATTGGTTGACAATATTCTAGAGTGTGAAAAAATAGTATAAATGTGAAATTATACTGGGATTAAAGGTGGATAAATTAAGAAAAAGGTATCTCTTTATAGTGAAACTTAAAGTTGCTGATTGCTGGCGCCATCTATGGGAATAAATATAAACTCTTCGTTTATTTTTAGGTACAGCTTGCACCACGTTGACGAGGGCCAACAGCCCGAAACGCGTACGTGGTTAGCTTTTCTTGAATAAGAGAGAATGGCTATTTGTTCCAATTCTGGAATAATTAATAATTA